CGCAGCAAAGCGAGGCAGCCGCAGCAGGCGCGAGCGCCGAGGCGACCCGTGCGCGCCGGCTCCGTGTGTTGGAGCCGCGTGTCCTCACTGAATTATTCAAGCCCTGCAGCTCTGGTTACTCGCTCCCTGTGTTTGCTCAGGCTCTGTGCCGTTCTCTGCGGCAATCTGTGTCCTGGAGCCAGCTTGACCTTTCCACGGTGAAGTCATCCCTTACAAGAGCACAAACACATGCATGCCCTGGTGTCTCCCGAGTGCTGCTCCGCTTCCATGCTCTGCTAGCTCCAAAGCAAGGAAGAGATTGCTCTGCTCCTGAGCCCCTCCTAGGGCTTGTGCTGGGGACGAGCATTTGGGAGCATTTGGGGCCACTCAATTGCGGTTAGCGGGGTGTGGAGCAGGAGGGTGGTAGAATGGGCCTGTGCCTCTGTAACGGGGAAACGGAGTTTATTTTGAGGCCTTTGCCTTCCTTCTGCCCTTTTTTGCTTTAGCATCATGCCTGGGAGGGAAGCAGGAGCTGGGAGGAGAGGAGCCCAGCAGCCAAGGGGTTAACCGCCTGCTGCTTGGAGTGCAGAGATTTTGGGGACAGCTGTGGGGCTTTTGGGGACAGCTGCAGCAGATAATGGAGCAGCCTTAGTGCACTATAAAAGGGACTTGTCCCCCCTGCTAATTCCCTCTTCCTTTGTGGGTATCTCCTCCAGAGCCTACCAAGGGAGCAGAATGAGCAGGTTCCTGGGCACCTTCCAGATATCACAGCACCCGCCTGGGCTCTGCTTGACATAAGGACCTGCTTTCCTTGCTGCTGACCCTGTAATATCCAGGGGTACTGTGATTATGGGCTTGAAAACAGAGAACAATCCTGCTGGACTGTTACTTAAAGCTGTTACTTCTAACGTTTTCTAGCTATGTGTTTTCTAACTGTGCAGCTTGGAGCAGCACATGAGGCTCCTGCCTCAGCTGGTCCCATCAGGGTGATCTAAGGCAAGGAGCAGCTGCTGATGAGGACACGGAGGCGAGCACGGATGGAGGCGGGGGAAGCCGATCAGCCCACGGGGCGTTTCCAATCTCTCCACAAGATGATCCCTGCGCTCGCAGCCGTAGCTCTGGGAAGGAGGGAGGATGACGCTGCCGTGGGCTGGGCACTGGAGAGCTGTGCTCCGGAGTGGTGATGTTTTAATTCCGGAGTGGGCTGTGGCGCTGGGCTGGCTGATGGCGGCGGCGGGTGCCGGAGGAGCCTGCATGGGGATGCTCCCATCTTGTGGACGACTTCAGCATTGCCAGCAAGAGGAAGATGGACGCGCCTGCCAGCAGGCCCAGGGCCCTGGAATTCTGCCTGGAATGTTGCCTGCACACGCAGGAAATGTCCCTGGGAAACCCTCCCCGTGCCCACGTTACCTGCAGGCCGGCGTTGACGCGCAGCTGGGGGCCCCGGTTGCGGCGGGGCAGGATGGTGACGAAGACGGTGCGGGGCTGGCTGTGCCGGTTGATGGCGGTGGCATTGGTCAGGAGGGTGAAGCTGTCGCTCGGGGCCTGGGGACCGTCCTGCCGGTACTGGATCAGCCCATTCTGCACCTGTGGGCAGGGGTTAGCATGAGGACCCTATCATAGGGAGTCAGGGAGCTGGCGTATGCTGCTCGCCCCAACTACCCGAGGGGGATGGAGCTGGTGCAGAGCTCCTGGAACTCATCATGGATACTCTGCCCTCTGCCTTCTTCCCTGCATCCCAAGCCAGCTCTGATGTGATGCAGAAGGACCACCTCTGCTCTGGTTCTTCCAGAGCCATCTAAACACCCCTTGGCCATGCCACCAGGGTCCAAACTGCTCCCATGTGCCCTGTCTGCCGTGCATGGTGCCGACCCTCCCGTACCTCACTCCAGGTGAACGTGTGCAGCCCGTGCTCCTGGGGCTGCTGGCGCTTCTGCAGGGTGCCGAACCTGGGGGGCTCCAGCACCCTGAACTCCAAGCCAAGAGCTGCGAAGTAGGCACTGGGGATGCTGAGGATGTCGGCGGAGAGCGTGGTGGAGCTGCCCCCTGGCACCGTGATGTTGCGCGTGTCCAGGGGGACCGCGACGGGGAGCACGGCCAGGCTCACCACGACCCCCTCCAGCGGATCCACCCCCCTGGCTGTGATGTCCACGATGAAGCGGTCGTGCTGCTCCTCCGGCTTGGAGTGCAGGTAGAGGACTCTGCCGCTGTTGATGTCCTCCTGGGTGAAGGACTGGATTGGATCCAAGCTGGGTGGCTCGTTCAAGTCTTGGCCGTGCTGAACCATCACTAGGAAGCCTGAGATCGGGGGGCTGCTCACCAGGTAGATGATGTCCTGGGGAGGGATCTCGTCATGGGCAACCTGTGTGTGCAAGGAGACACAGGGTGACACAAGGAAGGTCTGCGCGCCTCCCCCGTCATGGAGGTAACCATAAACACCTCATACAAACCTCTCTGGTAACAGCTGTACAAGGATGAAAACCATCCTTTTTTTGCCACAGCCCTGAGACATGCACCTCATAATGGCCACATGGGTCCTTTGGGAGCTGAAATAGCTTCTGCTCAGCTGCTTTGGCTATTCCTAGAGCAAAATTAGACCAGGCCTGTCCCAGGCTTACTGCGGTGATAGTTAGAGATGTCCTGGAAGTGGAAATGCCAAGCCTCCTTAGGGGAGCATGGCCATGGGAACCTGCTCTTGCTCCGCACCAGTGCAGAGTGTTAAGTGCAGGGATGTTCGCCATTCAAGTCATGATATCTACCTTAATAAATAACCCTAGAAAGATGGGCTGAGGAAGAGCTATGGAGCTACTTCTGCCATTCTCCTCCCTCTCATACAAAGGAGAGATCTAAGAAGGTACCATGGAGCAGGACTACAGGCTGCATCAAAGGCACATCCTCCAGTGCTGAGTATGGATGGAGTTTGAGAATGCCTGCTCTGGGACCTGGAGCTTCTCCTTAATTTTTTCAAGGTGCTCTGTGCAAATCAGTGCTCTGTTCTGGGTGACCTGCTTATGTTGATGGGTTTCCAGCCCATCAGCAGGATGTTTTAGCCTTCAAGGAAGGTTTCCCAGGGTCTATGTGCAGGAGGTAGCTTTCTCTTTCTTTGTAACTGGGGTGGAGATGCAGGCTTGGGGAATGATTAGAGACTAGGATACTCACCGATAAGTGTTCTTCCTTGATTTCAGCTGCTTCTCCTTGAAAGACATGTATCTCCTTGAGGTTCATAATGCGTAGAGGGTTGGGATGGGTGTCCAAGAAAACAGTGATGGCCAATGTGTCATCCACCACCACCTTGTTTGCTTCCACGGTGAACTGGAACTCATCCTGTGTGTTCCGGCTCCCGTTGTGGCGGTAAGCAATCTCTCCTGCTAGCAGATCCCTTTGGGAGAAAGCCATGACTGGCTGCTCCCCTCTCAGCACAGTCCCCCACCGCGGGGGAGCAGTTACCAGGAACCGTATCTCTTCATCAGACCTGATGTCCATGTTGGTCTCCAGGCTGAGGACAGAGGAGTCAATACGCCCTTGGCCCCCTTGGGGGATGGCTAGGCCGGTGTTGTTGACTATTCTGATGTAGGGGTCTGAAGCCTGAACTTCCAGGAGGGCAGTAGTTTGGTGGAGGCCATCTGAGACCTGTAGCTGAATCCAGCCACGGTCAGCCCCTGAATGGACGAAGAGGATCTTTTTCTTCCTCAGATCATCCTGTGTGAACCGATAGACTTGGCGGCTCCTGTCATCAACGGAGACGATGCTGCCAAACAGAATGTCCTTCCTCGCCAGCACCAGCTGCGTATCTGAGAAGCCAGAGTCCTTATCGACGAAGGCAATATGATCTGTTGTCAGGAGGTGCTGTCCATTGCGCACCACATTGAAAACCTTATTCACCACCTGGACAGGGGGGTGGTCATTGACAGGTTGAATGGCTACTCTGAAAACACCTCTCACCTCCTCTGCATCAGGCTCGGTGCTGCCCTCGCCCTGCTTGATCGCTACGAAGGGGATATCGTCCTCCAGGGTCTCGGAGTCGTCATGCTGGTAGAGCAGCCTGCGCCGGAGGATGTCCTCGTTGGTGAACTCTGTGATCTCCTCATTGGAGGGCCAGCCTGAGGAGGTGACCCAGGCCAGCCTGCCATGTGCCGGCCCTTCAATTACTTCATAGAGGTAGTCCATGCTCTTCAGGCTCTGCACAAACAAGTGGTCCCTGGAGATGATGGCCTGTCCCCCTTCTGGCACAGACAGAAGGACGTTGGTCAGCGCTGGTGCGTCGGGGTCCCCACCTATACTGATTGTGTAGGTGTACACAGGAGAGTGCTGGTCCCCGGCACGGACGCGAAACTGGAAGGTATCCTCAGCCTGCCTAGAGTTCCTGATGGTTGCACTGTAGCTTAGATGGTTTCTTTGCAGATCATCTTGGGTGAATCCAAAGCCTTCAGTCAGCCTGTTGCCAAGCAACTCCAGGTTTCCCTTTTTGGGAGCCTGGATTATCACATAGTGGAAAGAGACTGGGGCAGCATTTGGATCTTCCAACATTGCCTCCAGTTCCTTACTGGTGATGTTTTTGTGCCGCTTATTCTTCATCTGGAGAGGGACCATGGTTCTCATCTTAATGGTAGCTCTCTTGATCCTGATGAGGAAAGTGTTGTTTTGCAAAATCTTCTGCCCAACCTGAACTTTGAATCTCATCTTCTCCACGACGTCTTCCATATGGTGCTCTGAATCTGTGCTGAAATACTGGATGCGTCCTTGCTCCAGGTCTTGCTGGGAGAAGGACTCGACTTTCTTCCATTCCCCTCCCACACTCATTTGTTTCTGGACTTCCCCATACCTGAGAGGCTCCATTAGGCCATACAGGATGACGACCCGTTGTTTCACAGCATTTGTCTCCACTGACAGGTTGGCTGTGGTAATGCGTGCAGCCCCTCCTTGGGAGATGAAGAGGCCAGTGTTGTTGTGCATGTGGATGTCAGGCTCTATGGCATGGATCTTGAGGGTGGCCATGGGGCTTGGGACAGATCCATCGCTCACTTGAAAGGTGAGCTGCAAATTTGTCCCGCTCTGGTGCACATAGACTATGTTGCCTGCTTCCAAGTCCCTGCAAGAAAACTCTTCAATGGGCACTCCGGGGTGAAAGTCATACTCCACATAACCGTCCTCCATCAGTCGGCTGCCATGCAGTTGAAATTCAAGGTCATCACAGGAGGTGTCATCATCCAAGGCCTGCAGGATATCTGTGGTCAGATGCTTCCGTGTGTGCTTCAGGATTGTCATGTGATCCCCATGAGGAAATATCACCTGAGGGGCATCGTTGATGGGGTTGATCATGATGGGCAGCAGGTACATCTGTCCCTGCCGCAAACACTCGGGGATCCCTTGCTGGGCAGTCACAATTACCTCCAGCATCAACTGGTCCATGGGTCCTTCGGAGCCATCATGGACATATCTGACTTTTCGATTCACGATATCTAGTAAAGTAAACTTCCTTCTGCTCCTGGATCCAGGGACATCCAGCTCTAGATGACCATGCCTAGGGTCATTGGTGATGCTAAAGAGAATTTGGGACTGCCGGATGTTTGCGAGGTTCAAGTCTATCGTCGGCTGGGCATGTTTCCACTCCAAGAAGGCTGCTCCTCCTTCTGAGACGATGAGGGGGCTGACGTGCAGCAGTCTGCTGATGTTAGCAAAGGCAGGAGGGAAGCTGTTGTCTGGCTGGCACGGTTCTGCCAGCAGGCCGGGTGTTCCCTGCCAGATACCAGGAGGAGGGGAGGTGGGTGCCTCATCCTGTTCATATACTTCATCATATTCCCAGTACTGCTCCTGCTTTCCACAGCCAGATGTGATGTCCTTGGTGATCACAGCATCTTGCAGGCTCCTCCTCTGCAAGTTTATCCGCAGGTCCTCCAAGCAGCCAACAAATGAGTTGTTTGTTGTGCTCCCCACTGACATGAAGGCGAGGTGGTGCTCCCTCAGCCTTTGCAAGGCCTTTTCATTCATACCTCCAATGAAGAGGTTCCCCTGGAGGTCCAGATAGTTGTTGATGCCCCGGTTGGATGTGGCTGAGGCATAGTAGTCAATCAGTATCTCAAGCTTGTGGACATCTGTGTGGACTTTAACATAATGCTGCTGCTCATCACTGATGAAGATGTTGTTGTGCAGGACAATGATGCCATTCCCCTTCTCGACAAAACCTCTCAGGCGTCCATTGGAAATTTCCAGGTAGAAGAAGTCATTCTCCATCCCCGCATGGTAGATGAGGGGTGCTTGGGTGATGCTTGTTGTTATCACGAATTCTATGGTCCCTTCTTCCTTTGCGTTCCAGGTGGGAAATGCAATGTAAGAGTGCGGTCCTAGGAACCCAAAGGGGTCATCAGGCTCGGCAGAGAACTGCGTACTGCAGCCCTCTTGAACCCGGTGGAATATCTTGGAGCTGCTGTCAGAAGTCGGGGGGGAGAGGATGTCCAGACCATTGAATGTCACTAAGTGGAGGCAACCTCTGAAGGGAGAGCTGGACCCAGAAAGATACGGCAGGTCAAGGTTCCCTGTCCCACCTGCGTAGAGGCCATGCTGAATGTCCAGCTCTCGTGTGGGTCCCACAATGTCCACAGAGCTGTTAAAGAGGCTGTCGATGGTCAGCGTCATCCTGCCATCTTCCACCAACAGCTCCACATCATGCTTTGCCAAGTTGTTGAGCTGCAGTTCTGCTGGGGACTGTAGCATGACCTCCTCTGAGCCCAGCTGCAGCCTGGCCTGCAAGGGAGAGTGAGAAAAAGTGGAGTCAGAACTTCAGCTCGATCAAGACAGTGTCTGGGGAAACAAAGACAGTTGTGGTTGGCTTATGTCTCAAGAACCCCCTGTCTGCAGAACAGACTCCTGAGATTGCAGAACATCAGCTCTAAACTAGCCTGGGAGGTAGCCCTGAGGTTCTCTTTCTCCACCAGGGTCTGTGCTGAGCCCAGCTCTGTAAGACTAGGAGATCAGGGCCACTCTCACTTGTCCCTTTTGGTGTCCTAGCAGGTTGGCCACACCTCTGAGGACCTGGCCTTGGAATGGACAGGGCACCCGCAGCCAGGCAAGTGAAAAACTGGGATCATTAGCTCTTCATAGACCTGTCCCTGTACACGAGCAGGAGCAGGTCCCTATCTCCAGGGCTTAGACATGCCTTGAAAACAAAATCCAAAGAAGCCACCTCTATACCAGCCTGCATCCCTCTCCCTACCACTCTCCATGTTCCTCTCCCTGCTCTTTCTCAATGAGCTTCATGCTCAGACCTATTGCCTTGGGGTTTTCCTCTCGCTCCCATCCTGCCACCAGCCTCTTCTCCCACGGGAGAGCTCTGCCAAGTGCTGACTCTGCTTTCCCTGTTTCCTGGCCATCCAGGCCGGCTGTCCTTCTTTCCTGTGGCTTGGCCCATCTCCGTAACCCTCCCGGCCATCAGTCTGGGAACCAGTGAGGGAAATAGCAGGCTTGGCTTCCTCGGTGGGGATGGTCTCCCACAAGGAGCAGCCTTGGAGCCTGCTTAAGTAGAGGGTTAGCAGAGGGGCCAGGCGAGAGCTCTCCTGACCTGGCCTGCACTGGAGAAACCTCTGTCCAGCTGCTTGCCCGGCTCCTTAGCTTGTCCTCTGCTTCCGGGCAGCGTGTGACCCTGCCCAGGTGGCTCCTATGCCATGGGAGAGGAGGGGACATCTGCTAGATGTGTCCCGTTCTTCCCTTTCATGGCAAATACCATAACCACAGAAGAGACTTTTATTCCTGTGTCCTCCATCTCTCTCGCCCTGACTGGTCTGTGGGGGAGGTTTCTGCTACCTCTGGGTCCTTTCTTTGGTTCATCCCTTCTCGCATGACCCTGGCTGTGCCAAGCGCAGGGGTTGCAGGTTTTTGGGTGTCTCCATGTGCATCTAATGGCCCTGAGCAGATCCTCTCCCAGGGCTGTGTCCACTGTCCTCTGACGCCCCTTGAACTCTTGGCTGGCTCTGCTAGGGGTTTTGACAATTTGGCTCCCTGCACTTGTGGACTATTTAATCCTCTTGGCTGCTGGTTTCAGCTGTACCCAAAGAAGTGAGAAGACAGTTCAGACCTGCAACCTAATTTCAGGGGGTTGGATCAGCTCTTGGGGCTCTGCTCCAGTGTTAAGTGCAGGGAAGGAACCAAGGTTGTCTCCAGGGAACTCTGCCTCTTTCCCCACCTTCCCTGGGTTTGGCCCTGGAGCAAATACTGCCGCTCAAACACGCGCTGGATGCGGTGCTGACCTGCAGGGTGCCGCCTCGCAGCTCCACCAGGAGATGGTCGGGCTGCCCCGCGGCCAGGAAGAGGAGTCCGTCCTGCTGGCTCGTGTACAGCTGCAGGTGGAGCCGCACCGTGCGCGACGCGTCCGCCAGCGGCATCTCCACGTAGCCATCCCCAAAGAAGGAGGCTGCATGGAGAAAGGAGGAGGTCAGGCAAGGAAGGATGCGTGAGTTCATCGGTCTGTCCCCGAGGTGTTTGCAGGCTGTGCCCAAAACTGCTTGGTACAAGGCGCTGCAATGTGGCAGCTGGAAGAAAAGAGCTTTTGCATCCAATCGCATGCACATTAATAACGAAAGTTGAGGGCCCTGACTGCCAACTATAGTCCAGCTTCTTCCCACCCACCGGGAGCAGATACAGGAGCTGCAGCTGCCGCCCACGGCCACAAGATGGGGCCAGCGGATCCCTTCCCGATCCCGAATCCCTCCTCGATCCCGGCCACGGCCCCATCCCAGCGCTACGCGCGAGGTGTCGCCGGTGGCGGCGGTTCCCAGCGTTGCGTGCCTTGCTGTTGGGGAGGTCTTCCCTCTCGTTGCCTGGCCAGAGGCCCTGACTGTCATGTGGCCACATTCCAAGCAGTCGGGGCCGAGCCATTAGCCAAACACGGCTTTCCCACTGCTGGCTGGATTCCCCAACTGGTGCAAATCCCTGTTTTCTCCTGCATGGAGAGACCCCAGTCTGCACGTGAGCACCCACCGCCCTCCGCCTGCTCCCTGCTTCACCACAGCTTGAACACGGCAACGTTGCTGACGTTCACCCGACAGCGGCTGCTTTGGAGGAACCGTGGCGTGTGCCCACTATCCATATGTGGATGTAAAGCCATGGAAAAACCTCCTCTCCAGCACAGTGTTTAACGCAGTCATTGGCCAGCACTCAGCAGCCAGCGTACGTTAGAATTAGAGGGACTCAGTGCAATGGCATGTGGTCGTGTAATGACAGGCTGTGTCACAGCGCCTATGCAGAATTAAAGGCATGGTGCAGCTGTACAGCCAGCACAGCTCGATTTTACAGCGCCCGCATCTTTTAACCGGTCCAAATGCCCACGTGCGCGTTGTGCGCACGCCCCCAGGGCACACGTGTGTGTCCATGACACTCGGCCATGTGCTCTTCCAAACGCCGCAAAACCTGGAGTGACCACAGCAAAGTTAACTGTGCAGCTGCGCCATGAAGCAGGAGCGCTGGAGACCCCACAAGATGCAGAAAGACGGGGTGGACGCTTTGAGGGGTGAACTCCCGCATGCGGGAACCACCCGTAAAGCCCTCTGTGTTCAAGCTTGTGCACGTGCACGACTTCTTCCTGAATCAGCCCGGGTGCAGGCTGCGTGCCTTGGTGATGCTGCCTTTTCCCTCCCCGTGTGGCACAGGGGGACTCCATGCAGCGTTGCAAGGGCTGTACCCTCCAACCACAGGGATGAAATGGCACCATGGAAATAGGGAGCTGGCTCCGAGCGCAGCCCATCAGCCCAGCCCAGGGCATTTTTCATCGTTTCCTGGTGCTTATGGCTGGCGGGCGTCAGTGGCACCGGCGGCCTCCCGCGCTGAGCCAGTGAATCACCGGGGCTTCCCTACGATCTGCGCACACCATGAAGGTCACTGTCCTCTCCTGAACCGCCCTGTGCTGCCAGGGGCGCCGGCAAGGAGAAGCAGGGGCAGTGGCTGCCCATGGCACTCGCCAGCCTCATGTTTTGCAGGCAGGGCCGTCGTGGCGTCTTGCAAGAAGGAGCTTGTAAGGCCAGGCGCTGGGGTGCACGCACGCGCACGGGCGATGCCATTTGTCCCGCAGAGATGTCGCATACACACCACATTCTGGCTCCCTCCAAGGGTTCTACCCGTGCGTGCAGAGCCTGCGCTCCAGCTCCCACTGTGATTTTTCAGCTTTTTTCTTTTTTTGCTTTGTGGCTTCTCATAATCTGGAGAACGTGGCTTCCAGCTAGGTGCTGCGGAGCTGCTCTCAGGGAGCTGGGAGCTGCACAGGGACCAGTTCGCTCTGTGACTCGGCCAGCACCTAACCCGCTTGGTGTCCCTTTGTCCCTGATACACACGGGGATGAGGAGCGGGGTGTGGGGACCGTGCTACCCACACAGCCCTCGTGTCCCAAAAGAAGCTGCCAAGAGCTCGCTCTGCAGCGAGCAGGAGGCTGGGGCACGCTGGGCTCATCCCAAGGAGCGCCCTGGCCTCACGGGGACAGCAGCTCAGCGCCCTGCTCCGCATCCCGCCTGTTCCCAGCTGCCAGCATCCCGGTGCCAGGAGCCGTCCCTGCTCACCGGCCCCCGGGAAGGTTTTTAGGGGCCGGCCGGCCGCCAGCAGATTAGAGGTTGCGCCGTCAGATTTTGCATGGGGAAAAGAAGGGAAGAAGGGAAAACACGGGGCTCCGGGCACATGCACGCTTACAGGGAGGGAAAGGCAATTCATTCAGCGGCTCCTTAGCTGCACCCGGAGCATCGGAGCGGGTGCCAGGGCGGCCGCGTGCACACATGGTGCCAGCTGCTCGCAGTGGTTTCCTGCCCCGGCCACACACCTTTTCCTTCCATTGGAAAAACAGGCAGAGGCTCCCCGGGGGCGGACGACAACACCCCGCCGTGCACACACTTTTTCCTGGGGTTGTATGAGGAAGAGCCCAGCCACTGCACCCGGGCATCGCAGCATGCGCTTGGGTTGCTGCGCGCTGCCTTTCGGGCGGTCCCCCGGCCCGCGGGCTGCATGAGAAAGGCTTCATTATGCCGTGCATTCCCGTCGCTTTATGCAAGGGGGTTATTTCTGGCCCAGCCACTGCACCCGGGCATCGCAGCATGCGCTTGGGTTGCTGCGCGCTGCCTTTCGGGCGGTCCCCCGGCCCGCGGGCTGCATGAGAAAGGCTTCATTATGCCGTGCATTCCCGTCGCTTTATGCAAGGGGGTTATTTCTGGCCCCTTCGTCCCCTCTGGGGAGGAAACGAGCGGCTTCCAACGCGGGCAAGGCAAACAGGGGCGCCGCGCTGCCAGCCGGGCTGCGCCCTCGCGCACGGAGGAGTGGCCTCCCGCACGCCCTGACACCGGCTTCGCGCGCTGGCCGAGCAGGTCCCCGGAGCATCCCCCAAAGCCGCCGCCGGCTCCCCGGCTCCTTTGCCAGCCCTGGCTGCGGCGCCGCGCGCGCACGCGGCTGCCGCGCTCTGCCCCGCGCGCTCCCCAGCTGCGCTCCCTCTCCCGCTCTCCTTCCCGGCCTCCTGGGCTGCTGCCTGACAGCTTGAACTAGTAAAGAACCTCTTTGCAGCCCACGTTTTTACTTCAGATCGCCGGAAAACAAGCCCCTTGCTGGACCCTGCAGCCCACCTGGGGTGAGAGCAGCATGCGAGGACCCGCTGCACCCAGCGCACGGGACCGCGCGCTCAGCGGGACCCGGGATGCTTGGCCGGAGCTGCTGGGCCTGGCCACCCTTACAAAGGTCAACGGCTCTTAAAAGCAGAGATAAGTTGCAGGTGCAGCCTAGCCCAGTCTCCCCCAGCTCTGGGACCTCCCGGTGTCTCCGGACCCCCCACTTGGGCAGCAGCTCAAGGGTTAAAAAAAACGGGCCGTTTTGTGGGGGGAGGAAGCGGCCGGGAGGGCCCTTGGCACGCGGTGAGCTCGCATCTGGCGAGCACGTCGTGCACACGTGTCCCAGGGCAGCTCCATGCGGCTGGAGGGCTCCGCGGGGACGCCGGGAATCGGCCTGGGGTTGCAAGGGGCGCTCCAGGGAGACGCAGGGAGGAAGGTGGAGGTTCTGGGGCAGCACGAGGCTAAATGGGGGCTTTGTGCTGTCCCCCGCAGCGTGACTCAGGCGTACGCAGGCTGCCAGCAGCAGGAGTTGGCCTGGAAAGTCTGTCTCAGGCGCAGCGGCTGTGGTTTCCAAGCCAGGCTGCGGCGCGGTGTTCTCTCCGTCCTCGCTCCTCTTGGCCGCGCGGCTCTCCCAGCTCCACCCTGCGCCGTCCTGCAGCGCGGCCGGCCTACGCGCTCGGCGGAGAAGGGGCCGGGAGGCAACAGCAAACCCAGCCCACCTGCCCCTGCATCCCGTTCGCAGGATAATGGTCCCCAACCTCCCCGCAGCCCAGCGGAGTGGCCGGCGGAAAGGTGTCCTCCCAGGACACGGCTTGCGGAGCAGGAGAGCAAAGCCAGGCGCCGCTCGCAAGCATCCCTGGAATGGCTAAACGTTACCGGAGCGATCCTGCCTGCAGTAAACAAACAGCAGGCGCTGGAGAGGGGCCCGTTTCCACTCGCCCCGGCTCTCTGTCTCGGCCCTTTCCCAGCCCTGCATGCAGCGAGATGCTGCAGAAGCGCCAAGCCAGGGGGGACAGAGCAGCCAGCGTGGGGCAGGGGCGGAAAACTGTGGAAAAGGGAAGCAAATGGGCAGGGACATGGAGGGAGCCGCCTCCTCTCCTCTCCTCTCCGTGCTCAGGACATGTGTCATTTGGCCTCACCTGTCACTGCTGGAAAGAGGGATGATGATCAACCTTGGTGGCCTCCAGCAGTAGGGAAATATACCCTTGGGCATGGAAGGGTGTTGAGGTGGCCGTTTCTGTGGGATATGCCTATTTCAGGGAAGGAAGGGGTCTGTCATTGAGTCCTTCTGTGCCATTTAGGGACATAGCGCGTGCCCAAGAAGACCCTTATGGACACAGCTGTTTCTGTCCAAGTGCCTTGTCCAAGCTCAGAGATATCCCTCAAATAGGGATGCCTCCCCTTCCCTTTCCTGCACGTTCTCCTGGCACTGGATACGCTGGGCCTTTGTGGCTTGCGAGAAGCCATAACTGAAAGCATTTTGACCACTTCTTTTCAGGTTCCATTTTTTTTCATGAAAAAACGGCTCTGGCAAATGGTGTTGAGGTACAGCTGACAAGAGCCTCCTCTCCTCTCCCTCCTCCTCTCCCTCCTCCTCTCCCTTCTCCCTTCTCCTCTCCCTTCTCCCTTCTCTCTTCTCTTCTCCTCTCACTTCTCTCTTCTCCTCTCCCTTCTCCTCTCCTCTCCTCTCCTCTCCTCTCCTCTCCTCTCCTCTCCCTTCTCCTCTCCTCTCTTTCTCAAAGAGGTCTCCCTGCTAACCCTGCCTGCTCCTCCCAGGCCCACAACGCATTATCCCTGCGGCTTTCCTGTGCAGGAAAAACAAGCCAAGGGGTTATGTTTATAGAGAAAATAAACGCCTGCCCACCCACCCCCTATTAATAGCGGTGGTGGGATGTGCGCGGGGCGCGGGCGCGCGGGGGTGTGGAAGCGCCCGCGTTCGTCCCGTCTCAGGCCGCGGGGCGGCACAGGCCGCTTTTCTCAGCCGCAGCGACCTCGGGCCAAAATTCTCCTTTTCCAGCCTCCTCCGCCCCGGTTCCCAGAGGAAATGACCCAGCGGACCCAGAAATTGTGTGGGACAGGATATATAAAAGCTCCGTGCCGGGCCGTGGAGATGCCAGAGGCTCAATGTGTTGCTGAGGACTGGGCAGGGAGGAAATGGAAAATTCTTGGCGGGTCCCTGTGGGCCAGGAGCCCCCGAAACGGCCTGTTCTCATGTGTGCCAAGAGCATCGTGTAGCCCCGCGGCACCGGCACCGTTCTCAGCACCGGGAATAAGCGGATG